GGCGGTCCTACAGGTCGCAGGTTCAAATCTACGGGTTGACACTGGTACTGTACACAGGTAAGTTGGGGAACTAGGGATCGAGCCCTGGGATCTGCTTCCGCTACTGCAAACTGGTGAATACCGTTTCATGTGTGTGTGTGTGTGTGTGTGTGTGTGTGTGTGTGTGTATGTGTGTGTGTGTGTGTGTGTGTGTGTGTGTGTGTGTGTTTAAAGAGCCCTAAGGGGCTCGCCACACCACTGGCGAAATGCTCAAAAATTCGATGACTGTGAGAAGAAATTTGACAGCTGCCTCTTTGACAGTTACTGCCCCTTTAGTCGCACAGCACTGTTGAATGCACGAATTCGTGAATGCAAGTGGGAAATAGACAAACACGCCTGAGGATGAGACAAACGCGCCTGAGGATGGGACAATCGTTCGCCCGTCCCAACCTCAGGGCCATTCACCGAATTTCGATGAGCACTCGATAGCCGAGCGGAGGACTGTTGAAAATGTTGGAGTGGCCGGCTGGCTGGGTTTGGAACCAGTTTCCAAAGGAGGTGTTGAGATGCTTTCTCTGACAACTAGCAAAGTTTTTTCTTGTCTTCATTTTCGAAAGGCTGTGTGGCGATGAGAAACTATTGGAAATTGTATTTTCGACAGTGATGTGGCGAACCCCTAAACTGGCTTTCTCGTTCTATCCACAAATCATCACGAACTGTCCAATGTCGTAGAAGATACGAGGTTGGCCACATTTGTGTGGTGAAGCATCGAGTGCCCACACACCTGTCTGCGATCGAATCCACACGCTTGCACGTTTGTTATCATCTTCTCCCTCTCTCCCTACGCTGTACCAGGCAGTACTGTTTGACGATGTATATATCTGGCCGCGCACCATGGTCCATGCCATGACTGATGTTACTGATGGCTTTCATAACGATGTTGTTTTCTTGCCACGCCACTGTCCGCAATCTCTGCGGGGGCGAAGATCACTCCTCTGGCCCCGTGCTGCAGCACGACAATCCACCAACGCTCCACGACCTTCTCCTTTGCACAGCTAGAGACATTGCTACATTCGGCTGTAGTCGCCGTTGTGGCTGTCACAAGTACTACAATAACATGGGTGCTGCATCCATGTGCGCAGAGGACTGTCCATCCATTCCTGACTGCAGGCACCGTCCGCATCCGGACACTATATCATGTCCATTTTGCGGCCATGGGCGCTATACTGAATGCTGTGTCATTTGTGCACTAGCGGTTAATCGAAGGCCCAAATTTTAAGGTTTTTCGCCGCATCGCTACAAGCAATGTTGTCGAAGGCCCAAAATTCGCGGGTTTTCGCCTCATCGCTACAAGCAGTGTTGTCGTAACTTTTGCGAACAAACTATGCAAGGTCATAACAGAAACATAAAAAAAACAAATGGGCAAAAAACAAATAAACAAAAAAGCCTCAAGAGCACTATGAAACCATATCTGGAGTAGTTTTTTGTGTCACTAGCATGACAACTGGTCCACCATAGGTTGACCCATCCCAGTCCTCTCGTACTACGGTAGGGATGGCTTCTCTCAGTTCTCTTCAAATCACCAACGGTAGATAGGAACCGAACTGTCTGTTTTTTTAATCCAGAAACCAGTATCACTAAAGCGCCTATGCATACCAACTTTTTCACAGAGCTCTATGCTTTGATAGGAACTGGAAGTTTCGAGTCCGGTGTTTTTGCCAACTTTTTCATTAGTGGTCAAAATATGTTGAAACTAACTACAGATATACCCTAAAGCACATCCATATCAGGCAAAAAAAAGAAAAAAAAAAAGAGGTAAAAGTTCAGGGAAATATGGCAGTTGCGGTGAAAAATTCATAAAAATTTGCCGAATTTTGGGCGTTCCACTAACCGCTTCTCGCACATGACTCGATCTGTTATAGTTGTCATCTGCGATAACTAGTATACTAACCAAACAAGTTTCATTAACAACAGTGCTCTGTGCATTGTTTGAAAATTGATTACCGCACATATTAGTAGCAAGTTATCAACTTTAATATAAGTTTATTTTAAATGATCTTCCCTTGTTCATCTGAAATGGGCTAACGACGGATATTGCGTGATTATTGTGTCATCTGAGCCCTGTCTAGGAGAAACTAGTAGAGAGTGGTTGTTGAGGATGTCCACAACAAACGATTCGGTGAGAAACTAGCAGTGGGCGAGTCTTGATTCGACTCAACTACGGTTTGTTGCCACTTGCTCTAACCAATAAACTCTTGTTATGTGCTTTAACTACAGGCTGATCGCTTTAAGCCCTTTGCAGTCAATCTTAGCAGCTTGTCATTAGTGGCAAAATTTGAGCAATTTCCATAACCTACAGCTAATGTGAATTCTCTTACATACTTCCTAGTCTCTCGTCCAAGGGTCATTGCAATGGGTCTTTGCAGAGAACGAGGGAAAATCCTAGGAAATGAGAATGGGCTAGTGATGCCTTACACTCTCTATCAAACTGGGAATAGATAGTTGTTAAAGACCTCTAGTGCCACTTAAAGTTGATGAGAGAACAAACACTAGAGTTAGTGAAGAACCAGAAGTTCATCGAGTATATTTAGTTCAACCGATCAGACAAGAAAATGCACAGGACACTCTTATCTCATT